GGTTTTCTTATCATGAGCTGTAAGTAATGAATTATCATTTAGCAGCTGATACAATTGTTACAAGGCTTATCATAACTTTGTTAATTTGTCAGCAACAAGGGGTAAAAGACTCGGTATTGTCATGCCTTCAAATTCTAGCACGATTAACTATCAAGGCATTGTTTTGGAAAATTAGGGGTGTGGAACGGATCCCTCTCCCTATTATATGGAAGATCCCTGTCCCTATTATGTATACCCTCGAAAAGCTACCTCTGTACATACGTTACTCTAATTTCAATATAAGAGTATGCAATACTTCAAGTGTCATATGAACATATGAACAATAGCCATTAGCAAGGGAACCAGCAAATAAAACCAAAGGTAACGAGATCATTACACAATACACATATATTTGAGTATTAACCGTGTTCATCCGACACTCGCATAATTCTATACTAATTTGTTGAAACACCTATATAATATATATTGATGATAAGTGGAAAGATGAATCATTCCATGGAATAGTCAAAGTTATAGATACTGTAAAACCATTAATTTGGTGTGGTGTGGATTAGATCATTGCTCAAATGCTCGTAAGAGATATGAGATATCTGTCCCTATTATGAATAGTTTTGAAAAGCTACCACTGTATAATATATGCTATTCTAATTGTATATTTATATGCAATTCTAACTTTATATAAGTTAAGAGTATACAATACTTATGAAAAAAGAATGGGCCATCTTTACGCAGACTGCTTTAAAGCGTACTCATGATAATTAATTGAATAGAAGCTACAAGAAAAGATGTTGGTACCTAGCTTGAAAATATGAAAAATTATGAAAACGCTGAATGTAAATTGCATTGTTCACATTAGTACGCCTTTATTCTTTTATCATCAAAACACGAATCTCTAACATAATGCTGAATGCTCATTGATTGATCATTATCCTTTCTTAGTTCACCAAAAGAAGTTCACACCCCTGGACATATTATGAAAAATATCCAGGGAGCTAATAAATAAAAAACAAAGCGAGATCATTATACATAGTCTATCAGACAGTGTTCAACACGCACACAATCCCATACTAATTTATTGAAACCCCTATAATAGGTGGACAGACAGAACGTTTTATAAAATAGTCAAAGAAATAGGTACTGTAAAACCATCATTTTCGCAGGTAATGTATGCTTTTATTCTTATTTTTTCAGACTTAAAATCAGCGAAAATATGTGCCGCGAAATTGAGTGCTTCTGTCTAATTTCTGCGTTCAATCATTCGAATTCGATAAAATTTATGCCGTGACAATTTTAGAAATCCGCAGAAATGAGTGCCCACGAAAATATATGGTTTACAGTAGAACAATACCAATCATCGGTAGAAGACATTCTATAAAATTACATATTACCATGAACAATTGATATGCTATGAAATTCCATTGGGATTTACTAAAGACCAGCTTAAGAGGAAGGCTAACGTTGAAAAGACTGAAAAGACCGTACATATTTTGACATAAACTCAGAAATTCCTTCGGAAAATTGTCAGTGGTCACCTATATGCATCGTGATGATCAGATTAGATACAAATAAAATCACATTAAGTTCTCATCAAACCCATTTACGGGTAGTATATGTTTTCATGAAAAAGTGTCAAAGCCCCGGAACTGGTCAATGTCATTTTCTCTTACGACGTTTCATCTCACTTTCGACATAGATCTAACCATAAAATTAACTCAGTGCTGAACTCTAATCAAGCTAGTATAAAACTAACCCACATTCTAATCCTTACCCAAAAACCTTGTTTAGAATGGCAGGTCGTGGAACTTTAGTGCCCAAAAAAGATAGATTTATAGATAAAACAAGCCACTACTTCTTAATCTTATTCAATCTGCGTAATATTGTCGTCCATTTCAAATACTGTATATTGAAAGGTTGTTAACGGCTACTATGATGGGTAACTACCATTTTTTATTTCAAAATTCAAATAAATCCGCGGAAAGGAAACATATTCCGCAGTAAATCGGGGTCCGCGGTAAATCGGGGTTTTACTGTATTTACACATGACCAAAATATCTACAATGAAGCAAAACTATGATTTATGAAGCTGAAGGCTACCAGACTGCAGCTGGAGTGAGAAAAATCTATGTAAAATATATTTCGGCTGAACCAAAACACGGCGGTTAAACTATAATTCTATTGGTGCTGAGAACGAAACACTGCACGGCTATACTCAAAGTGTTTATGGAAACCCAATTATGTACTTATTTACTCCATCATATGTTTTATGATTAGAGCAGCAACATGACAGGACAAATACGATGAGATAAAGCAGCTGCAATCTAAAATAACAGTTGTTCACTAATAACCAATTATAAATTGCAACATGCACCTCTCCAGACAGTAGTTAAGGCAAATTCAATGCAACTAATTTTATAGTTAATGTCTTAATCAGGAAGGAAAAGATCGCCTCACTCACTGAAATTTATGTGGCAAACGGAGACTATCGTTGAACAATCAGGAATAACCATGTTCCTCTCAACTTACATATTCAAATTTATGTCACGTAATGTACCACGAGACCTCATCAAAATACCATCTCACCGGGACCCCTCCGTGAAGACACGTGACCTATGGGTGATTATCCATTGCTTGCTACAGAAACAATGCTAGTAAACGGTGATAAAATGTCTAGAATCAGCAGACAGACCACTACCAACTTGCTGTGTTGTCTGTTGATCACCCTAATATGTATTAATATGTTATTATATTATGTAAATGATTAGTTATTGTCGATGATATTCTCAGGGTCTGATAATTAAAATACTAACTCTACAATTACCGTAACAATGAAACATACAATAATATAAATTATGTCTTCTTCTAATTGGTCAGCGTCGACAGTAATCCTTCCTTACGGTGGCTTTCACGACGCGTCCCCATTTCCCCAACTCCTGCTGCTGGAAGAGGGTCTCCCAAATTATATACCATAAATATATTAAACATAGATATCGAGAACAGACTCCGAGAGTCTTGAAGTTCTGTTACCAGTATATATATATAACAATGAAACATACAATAATATAAATAATGTATTTGATAATGATATTTAAACTCGTAGCTAAGTATTTTAATTTAACAGCTCCTTGACCCCTTATCCTGCTAACATGGCCCACGTCAGTATTTCCTACGACATCATGTCTAGAGACGATAATTGATCAGACAATGATTAGATTCAAATGTTCCTGCGTTAAACGATTTCCTAGCTAAATAGATCTTACGTGTACCATATTATGTTGAACAGTAAGATTCTTCAAAACATTGATGGGTGTGAATGATAACACGCTGTAGACTCTCTATATATTTCTAAATTATCAAGGCCTGAAACCGTTATAACTTACGCTCCATGAGTGCTAATATTGATTTGGGTCTACGAGTGGTAATCGTAAAACAATTCTGGATTTCTCTTATTTGTCAAATTGGAAACAAACAAGATAGCTATGATCAAACGATTTAGCTTATTGTTGTGCTATTCTTATGCCGTTTCCTTGAAGTGCAGTATTATCTGCAGTTTTATCTGACCCATTGTTTTCTGGGGGATTATGTGATTAAGGAGTATGGACTCGCTGCTAGAGAACTAGCTAATGGGTGGGTTGGCGATTAACTCATTGTTGGACTCAAAGCTGTACAAAGTTAAGGTCATAATGTGCTGCAGGGTGTAAACATGTCCATCTATGTAATATGTATCCGTAGAAGCGAGCCTCACAAGCAATGAATGGTGGAATTAGTATAAAAAAGGTTAACAATTATTTACTATGACAGAGCTCTCAACAGATTTAAGCCAGTGATCCGGAGGGGTTGAACTGATAATCCAATGTTTGAAGTCAGTGACCCAATATTATGAGTCAGTGATTAATGATAAGCCACTACTTACGAGTCTAGACTCACAACCAGCTTAGACTCAGCTAAGTTATGCAGAATACATGTATGTTCAATACCTTATCGGATGTAACATGGACGGACATAATTATAAACACACTTTCGAAAACAAGAGCAATTATAAAATAGTTAAGTATCATGATGATGATAAAGGCTTTTCATGATCATTGATAATCAACAATGTTAATTTGGGTGTTTTGTTCCAACATTCACAACTACCTGTTATAGTAAAAACTTGAATAGAGTTTACACTATGGAAGAGGATAATGCTAAGTACTAATAACTCTACAGTTTACAATCAATAGATTGTATCGTACTTATTCACCAATGTCCTAAGCTATACAATAAACGACAAGATTAAGAAATTAAAATATAAATTACAAGACGTGATCATCTTTAAACGGGTTGTCTCGAATCAACTAGCCTATGTTCAACCCAGTGCCACCTTCTCAAAACGTTGTTTTACCAAGCTGGTGCCACTATGAATTTGCCTGAACTTTGTCCGGCTTGCCTATCTGCCTAACGATGCATAAAACGGTTCATTATCCGATGGATCTTCACGATTAAATTTCATATTAACCCTGCTAAGGTTTAACCAAATTCATTATACCTAGTCCAGCCTTATTGAACATTTTATAAGTTCATCGAATAATCGCTTTAAGCTAGCTACCAGAGCGGAGAACTAACCCAAATGGTCAAAATATTCAGAAGTGGTTCAGAAGTGAAAACGAGCAAGACCGAGTATATAAATAGTTGGCCTATCAGCATTCAACACCATATTGCAGCCCAGAACGACCATTTCCCGAGTTGAACAAGCATGACCCGCGGGGTTGTCCCAAGGCTCAAGCCTTGCTACTTGAATCAAAAAATTAAATGTTAAAATTATACTTTTAATAATTAATTTAATTCGTAATTTCAAAACCACATGACTGAGTGTGGAAATATTCAACTTTGAAGAGGGAGAAATAACAAGACTAACACTGAAGAACAGACGAGACAACACACTAAACCACCACGGTCATGAGTCATTAAACAAATGAAGGTCTAGAACATTAAAAATAAGCGCCGGAAAAAGAACCGCTGACCTGATGATACTGGCGTGCTCCTGCATCACGGCCGACAACTCCAAAGGTTCGCACATCTCAACTGGTTCAGGGTTGGAGTAACTTGTCTTGCTGTTTCTGAACCGCTTCCTTGCTTGGGTGGTGGCTGGCTGCTGTCAATTAGTGGCATTAGTGTGGTTTTGATAATATAGAATTCGAGTAAATATGTATGGAAGCATCATCTTTTGCTAACAGTTATCGATAATTATGAATCGGTGATCTGTAATTATAATTGCGATCGAAGTTCGGCTAGACGCTAGACACTAGCTGTCTGTTTCGACTAATGTCCAGAGTTTAATGTACAAACTTAGAAGGCTAATGGAAAATTATGGAGAATGGACAGCGAGGATAGGTCGATATTTTTATCGTCCTATCGATAATTGGAAGAAAATGATCGGATAAGACTCGAGAACAAATTAATCTCTAGAGAAAAAGTTTTTAACTTACTCCATCCTGAGAGTCGGAAGAAGCTTGTCTGACAAATTCTCCTCCTTTTTCTAATGTTTCCAAAACTTTCTTCTTCTCTTCTTCCAGTGATTTCTAGAATAGTATAGGCAACTTGTAAGGTAAAAGTAAGTAAACGTGTGCAACAGAGGGTTTCATCTCATGATCTTACACCCAATAACGTGGAACTATAGTTGAATGTTAACTAATTAAGTATTGATCCTAATCAGCAGGGACTTGAGATCAACATGGAATGAGTCAAGATAAATCTCAGAAATAACAAACTTTTTGACTATCTAAACCTGATCTTGGGGCTCAGTGAGGACATTATCACACTCCACGATAGGAGCTTCAGACTCTGCGATTAAAGAATCATACTCTACAACGACAGCATCAGAACTGCCTTTCTCTGCCAGTTGATCTGGTCCGGAATTCAGTTCGCCGGACACTGCGGACAGTACTTCCTTACCAAAAAAATCGGCCCCCAAACATGGTATTCCCGTTTGTGGGTTTGTCAGAGCAGGATCTGCAGACGATGCGTCTTGAAACTCGTCTCCGGAGGGCTCCTTACCATCGTCGGCAGTTTTCTCTGCCGTTTCTTTATCCTCACTGTGTTGACAAATTTAATAACTCACCGACAAAATCACAACCATACAAAATTTGTTGTAATTGTGTTAATCTGTGTTCTGTAAGCAGCTTTTTAATGAAGGGCTGCTGAATTGTAAATGTTTGTTTGAAAATTGCTGTTAGTTCCAGTCAAGTAAAAATGCTGTCATGTTAGTCAAAGTGCTGTGAGCTGTTGGTAGTGTATTGTATGCGGCCCTAGCTGCAGTGCTTCACCCCTCATTCTTATACAATGTCTCACCAAACACATAACTCTGTATACTAAATTCACGATTCTCAATAAAATTGAATAAAAACACTTCTCAGTCAATAGCACACTGTCAAAAACACTTCACGATCATACATCACATGTTCAACACACTAGTTCATATTATCCACACAGTGCAACAGTCGGCGGGCATTTTTAACTCTATTCTACAGCATCGTGCAATGTGCATTTCATGTACCCAGTCGGTTACAGGAATCAAGTGTGGGGTTGTTTTGATTTTAAAAAGCCCTTAGGTAGCAGTCATCAATCTGTAGGAAGGCGGCACAGATTTTCGACCTTACTACCATGCCACTTTATCTCAAAGTAGGTGCTCACTGCTCTCACCACTGCACAACCCACTGAGTCCCGGAATGATAACTTACACCTGCAATTACATAAGATTCCAAGTATAACCATACCACACAGCACACGTCACTAATTAATTCACCAGTCATCGGCTGACAATTCAATGCTACATTTCTTACTGGACATTGCAAGACGGACGCAGCCACGCCGATTAACGACATCACTCAAAATCACATTCTTATCTAAAGCACACTCTTATCAAAAGCACACTCGTATCTAAAGCACACACATCCCCATATATCTGAGCTAGCAACTACTCACTCCTCAGACCCATCACTGTCAGTCGTGACCCACTCGTCTGAGTTTAACCAGTCACCGTCATCACTGTCATCAAACATGCCCATCTCCTCGTAAACATGGGCCGCGTTGTCGGGGTTCACTGTTGTTATGGTCTTGTCAGCCCATTGTGTCAGTAGCTGAAATAGGAGGAGAATATCAGAGGGGAACGTACTGATCAGAGAAAAAGTCACTATCAGCCGTCATCCAGCTGCTGTCATCATCATCTGCCTCCGCGTAGTCTTCTTCAGATATGTCCTCGTAGTCAGTGTCAGACGAGGCTAGGTGGACGCACTTATCGGGGGTTATAGCGGATATTGCTCCGTCCGTCCAGTGAACAAGTAACTGTGGGGATGGTGTTTATTTATATTTAATTGATTGATAAACAGTACAAGGCCGTCTCATGATTTAGTGGTTCAGTCCCAGGCATTGAACATCTATGACCATTTTACACTCGCTTTTTAAAAAACAATATATTGTATGTATTGAGGGGTAGATGTGAACTTATCGTGGGATTACATGTATACACATAATGTATACTCATAATATCTATTACAGAAAAGCAAATTGAGTATTAGCTATCAAAACATTATGTTTATCTGCCTCCTGTATTGAACCGAAGTTGGCCCCAGCCTCTATTCCCTATTTCCCCTCACAACAGTGTCACATCAAACTGTACACTGCTTTTGAAGGCTTGTTTAACAGGAGAATCCTCTCAAAATCCTGACGACGGACTTCTTTCCGAACACTACGAAATAAACAAGCTCGAAGCCGAAAAATGGTGTAAATCTATCTTAAGTCCGTAAGCTCCCGACCAAGTTTCACCAGCCCTCCAATAATATCTCGACAGTCTTGTTTTAAAATTTGGAGTATCGGAGCAAAGCCCGCAAAGTTGGCCCGTCATCATTCATGCTAAATCAATACAATGCATGTTCGTTTGATGTAAATAACGAACGCGCGTGGAGGGTTGGCTGGCAATGGAAATCCAAACCTTTTTGCAATGCGCGTGCCGTAGACTCATACTGACTAACTGACTCTAAAATTAGCATTGGCCGCGTTTCCACCCTCCATATTTATATTGTGACTGGATCGTGGATGCGTGTGATCGACTGGATATGTGTGACTGTCTATTGATGCAGGTAAAGGTGTTCAATGTTAAGCTCCAAACAACTTCATATTAATGGCTCCTTTAAAAACGGCAGAGGAGGTCCACAAGATTTCAGACGAATAATTTGATTGAAAACACGTAGGATATTTTTACGTCTTCATAAAGTATGGTCAACATTCTTCAAAAAATTAATGCTTGAAAAATCAACAACATTCCAAGGTCTTTTTTAATCAATATTATTAGGTTGAAAAACCATAGAAGAACTACATGCTGATCGTAAGAGGCATGCATGCAAAATACGACACAGAAATAAATAATTACTTAAATTCATTAAATCCATTACCTTTCCAGTTTCAGTAACGCAAATGATTTGACCGATGGAGCTGTGAGAACACTCCACTAAGCACACAATGATGTCCATGGGGTTAAAATCATACTTTTGGTTGTATTCCAGGGAGTATACACTGACTTCTTCCTCTCGCTGAAAGAATACATTAAAAGTCAATACAATATTGATACAACACTAATACAACACTATATACAACATAGAGCACACTATATAATACATATATATAATACATCCTCATGCCCAATCATTACATTATTCTAAAATTAGCACCTATACAATAGGCAACTCCAGCATAATTTGACCAAAACTGTCGTGTACAAATTCTGGACTCATGCCAAGAGCCAAGACATGAATAAGCCCTGCTACGAGCACTGAGCTGTACGAAAATAATTACATCACTTGACACTGTGTACGACTGCAGTAATTGGTTGCTATTTATGTAATTTGCCGTGCATACTACACTGGCTACTGTCAACAAACCCCTGGTAAAATATAACAGCAACATAAAAAGTATTGCAATTCGATTAAGTCATTGAGTATATATTTGGACACCCACACATGGCTAGAATGTAATGTTGTTTTATTTTTCATAACTAATGATAAGGTGCTACAACACAACTAAGTACCCTGAATTAGAAATCGACAACTATTGCAAAGCAGTGGCGTAACGTTGCCTGTAGGCGCCCCCCCCCCCCCCCCGCCGAAAAAGCGCCCCCCTGTTGGCGCCCCCTCCCTTTTTGGCGCCCCTCCTTAAAATTGAACAAATTAGGTGATTTTAGTGGATATGCCGGTAAAATCTCTAAAAAAAGTGCGTTGCTAGAGCAAAACGCGCAGTTTTGCTAGTACCTCAGTTAAGATTTTCAAAATTGTCTCACATTCAAACGACGATTTGGTGCCCCCCTATGATGGCGTCGCCCAGCGGGGACCTTCGTTACGCCACTGTTACTAACATTAATAATTAGAGAAGTACGAGTCTGTGCCACTTTGATATGTTATAAACAGTTACCTTGTCGCTATCAAGCCAGTGAACAGTACAGGTCCTATCCTTAGAGCTATACTTGGAAACCACCGCTAGCTCGTCCTTGTTTCCCACTTTATTAACAAAGTACCCAGGCATGTGGGCGTGGTCGTCTAAGTGGTCGATCTGGTTTAGTTCGGTACACGGTACATCTTCCTGGCTACCATCCTCCCACAATACCTGATAGGGGTTATTTTAGGTCAGATGACATTATTGTTTAATTCTCCATGAAAACTCGACATTTTTGGGAGTAATGGCGATGACACCTCTTAATTCTTAATCATTGAAAATATTCCTCCATGCCCTGTGATTTTACCGATCGAATTCCAACGTTTTATAAATGCACTCATGAAGACTTTTGTTGACAAAAAATGATAGAAATAATCACGAACCACCAAATTTCCCCAAATTTTAAAAGTATGTTATCATGTCAACACGATACGAGTCTCAGGGTGTGGTGAGAAACCATGCTCTTTGTGAGAACAATTATCGAACAATTATTCATGAAAGTCAGCACTTAATCATATTTGAGGCATTTACAAATTACCAGCAGAATCAGATAATTAGATGAAATTTTGATAAAGTTATGGTATGTACATATTGTGTCCCGTATTTAGATTATCGATACCTTCAAGTGATAAGATTCGCAAAGTGATAAATTCCTTATTAGATTGGTAAATGTCTAATCAAAACTTAGACTCTAGACTCTAGAGACATGACAATTCTTAAGCATCTACTCAATATTAGTGAAAAATCCCGTTTGCGTGTCATTTACGAATGACTCAATCAAGAAAACCGTATAGTAAGAGTTATGGGTGATTATGGGACTGGTTATTTTCGGTATAGTGCCATCATAACTCTGAGGAAGTAAAATAACTTTGAAGTTCTTTGAAATTGGCCAACGGAAAATAGACTACTACTACTACTACTAGGTCGGAACTAAGTCCAATCTACGCCAAATAATCCTCTTCATATATCCCTGTCGCGCATCGGGGTTCGCAGTTCCTCTTTAGAGTTTGTCCCAAATTCCTTCAGTAACATAGACAAATAGCTTTGTCTCGGTCGGCCTCTTATCATTTAAGATACCTCGCATAAATACGAGGTCTAATTTGATCACGACACTTAGCTGCCGAGAAAAAGAGGAATTTCTCACTGCTTAACCTGTAATCAAATTACCATGCTTGTTCATTGTTATTTACTTTCCGATTAGGGAGGTTTTTTAGGAAGTTCAATCTATACTTGGATATCTCATATCACTTTAATGAAGTTAAGCTTGACTGTAGTTCCTTAATCTTCGGTGGTGATGTTTCATAATTTTTTTTATAGATGCATGTTGATCGCTTAGGTCGTCGGGTTTATCACATACGTTATTGTGATCTTTTGCAACCAAATCGAAATGTGTTCAGTTGACTCACTATGAAACATCTGATAGCATTACTGCGTATTATCTTCTGTCTGCTTGTATAATTTGGACAATTAAGAAATTGAAATGTTTCAGCATTAATATGGTACAATTATGATAATTTTAAATGCAACCACTTTCCTTCCTGTTTTTAGCATAACTTTTCATTGCTTATATTTTTACCCAGTTGCCCAATACAGGGTATTGTTTTTATAGCGTTATGCATCTAAAGATGCAGTAAATTAACCTGAGTTTGGCGTTTAGCATATTCTTGATGTAATCACATCAGTCATCATTAATTGCATCCTAACTGGTTTACTTGTTTTCAATTGTTCAATAAAAAGTAATAACAAATGTAATGATTACATGGCATCAAAACATGTTCAATATATTCTGTTTAGTACATAGTATGCTTACAGTTGATAGAGTATAATATATGATACATTATATAATTGCTGTTCAAGAGAAGCAGGGTTGAGTGTACATCACAACTATTGTACAAGCTAATCAACCATAATCCGAACTCTCAACAAAATCACCTGATTACTAGCCCACCCAAACTCTATTCTAACAGCACACAGTAACATGTATACATATTACATATCACGTGACCCCAGTTTCTGGTTATTATACTGGATATTATACAGTATTATAGCTAGTGTATAACCAGGAAATAGTTATTACAGATCAATGATCCTCGCGAAATATGTACAGATCTTGGATTCAAGGTTTTCAATACCTCAATTCTCATAACACAGCAGACCAAAATTTAGAGCCGCGGTAAAACAAAAAAATTGTTAGCTGCAGTAATGATTTAACAATACACATTTGGAGATCCTGTATAAATAGTAAATACCTTTCCGGTGTACGTAGCGTCGACAATCTCTACCAAGTACTGCCCCTTAACTTCTATCGGCCCTTTGGGAGATATGTTGCTGCACCACCTGTAATGTTTGATGGTATCATCTACGAAATATTATAATATATGATCTAAAATAGACCGCATAAAGTACGTGAACTAATAAATGAATATGGTATGCACAAGAGATTCAGAGATTGACTAGAATGTCTAGTATAGGCCTCATGTAGCCTCCAGGCTCGACAAACCCCGACAAACCCCGACACACCCCGACAAACCCTGACAAACCCCGACAAACCCCGACAAACCCCGACAAACCCTGACAAACCCCGACAAACCCCGACGTGTCGAGATATGTCGTATCATGTCGGGCCCACCGGCTACATGAGGCATTAGTATGCTCATAACTAGTCCATGATTTTTAAGTGTTCCCCAAATTCCCGAGTACGCCACCATGGCAACAATTATTCTGTGTTCATAGATGATTCACGACTGTTTATACGACTCATTCTATGACATAAAAGTCATGATTCAGTAGATGCCCTCTAGCTAGACGGTACTTGATTCTAGCTAGACGGTATGTGATTACTTAGACATTACAGAAAATTCCTAGCTCCTTACTTAGACATTACAGAAAATTCCTAGCTCGGCCGTTCCCTCAATTCACGACATCATTCATTGCACCGAGTTCTACGTCATGAGGTGCCCTGGCATATTCTGTGGAACAATGTTATAGTAGGAATAATAAGTTTTCAGACTGATTTCAGCTTCCTATAATGGGATTTTGTTATATGCCGCAGCTTCCATAAGAGGTACATGATCTCTCCAAACAGAAAAAAACTATATTACCGTAACTTAAATGACCGAAATTCCAGATGACACTGAAAACGAAATTGGTCGCTCACTGCCGGCCGTATTTTTTGGTATCTGTATAGTTCTTACTCTGTTTGACAAGCATGTGGATATTCAGGAAATTATAAATAACAACCTTTTCCAAATGACATGGACACAAGCTTCCTGAGAAGTATCTATGATGAGCCAATAAGAAAGGCGTATCGATTTCAGTCTCTTAACTTTTTTCCACGCTACTTTCCACACTATATCAATAGGAACAGTGATCCAAACGTTTTGGATAGTTAGATGGTGGGGACGTAATTAACTTATCGAGTTTTTAAAAAGAAGCATAATCAAATAATGATATAAACTTCCAGGATGCTCTAGAGCTCCTACACACTATTTCCATTTAACATTTCATTCGTACAATCTACTTTGCTCATCAGTTCTGAAGGTTTGTGATAAATTGTATTTTTTAGAAGTGGGAATTTGCGTGCAGTGATTTATCGTCTGAATTTAAAAAATAGAATCACCTTGTGCTATGACTTTTCTAAATTCTTCAGATTTACCTCCTTTCAACTGGTGATATTGTTTTAGAATTGTATCTAATCCATTGCTAACATTGTTTTAGGTGACCCTGGGCACAATAAGTCAGAGCGTATTTCCGGATTCAACAACGTCTCTTTAGACGCAACCATTTCTGGAAATTTAGGATCAAATTGGTTTCGCAGCAGACACCACCAAAAGCTACTAGTCCAAATCCAGGAATCCTCATTTTCGCGAAATTATCCAACATATATGAAGAGACTGCCTTCTATGTCATTCATTGACATGATTCTTGAATATGACATTGGAAATTTCACAAAATGGCGACACCCACCTGATTGACAGTATGCATTTGAGTGGTCTGCTCAAACCATAATATGAGTTCTTACACAGGTAAAACGGTAAGTGGTTTACATTGAAGTTGATCTTTATTTATTTACAGGGTGTCCCAGGATTAGCGTCCCGGTAAAAATTTCATTACCTCAGGTTGAATTAGGTCCTGGGAATTAGTTTCAGAGTTAGTTTCAGTGAGCCAAAAGGGCAAAAGTTTGAGCCAGTGAGCCATAAATCTGAGCCATTAATCCAAAAATATGAACCGAATTGTACCCTGAGTCTCAGGTCACAAGTCAAGAGTATATTATACTCACCAGATTGCACTGGCTTACTTTTATGAATGACCCCTATGATTCCCATTAATCGTTAAATTCTACACTGGACTATCTACTCAACGTCAGCTCAACGTCAGCTCACGCTCATCATATTTAATTTCTCAATCATAAAACTTATTGCTATGTACTATACAAATATTTTCATCAAAAAAATCTTTGGGACACTACTTCTGGGACAAACTGTATGAGGAATCTCTCTTGTCAACAAAGGAACCATAATCTTCAGACCCATCGTGTAAGTAAAATAAAACATGCGGTGTACCTTAGGTTGAGTTAGGTCTACTGATAGGAGGTGCCATACTATACCTATATTAACAAAGTAGCAACCTCAGTTAACAGTAGTGCACGGTTGAATATAAATTAGAAGCTTGAAAATGTATGAGGATTGACATTTTGAGAGGATTGACATTTTGAGAGGATTGTTGGCAAGAGGATTCCTGGTGTAAATACAGGAAAATGAAATGTCGATTATAAATAAACACAAATATTTCAGTGATCAACGATGACAGTTCTAGCTCTGAACACGAAATCAGAGGAAAAGGTAATTAATTAATTGATTGTGGGGAACTTAACTCCATTTCGCATTACTTCTTCTAATGTACAGGGTGGGCCAAAAGTCAGTACCCATACGTTGGCCTTTATAGCTCAGTCACTGAGTGCCCAATTTAAATACTTCTTTCTGGTATGACTTAGTACCACCACTGGTTCGAGGAATTTGTCAACTCGAAAAATATTCGCGTTCATTTTTTTCAAATGGAGGTTCATTTTCACATTTATTTGATAGTTTGGATAATCGGATCAAGCTAAATGTTATTGAATTGTGTTTGGCCATTCGAATTACGTTTGTCCTGAAAGAATTAGAACTGTAGCTTCTCAGATGACCGAGATATGAAGCATAACGAGTTTATTCATTACGTGTGATCAGGTGATTGGTTTACCTAATCACGTGATAAGGTGCCCCCATTAACTACCCCGTTAAACATTATGGGAATTGTTAAGGGTGCCCAATTAAGGTGTCGTGTCACGGTGTCACATAATCACCCAGTCAATATTGTTAACGAGATACAGAAAATGCTTGATAACTTCGTCATTTCTAATCCGTTTTGCCTCATGTTTTCAGATCATATGCAACATTTGATAATCTACCGTCTCTGAAAAAAATTAGGCGTTCAGCATGTTCAGAGAAAACAATATAGGTGTTTTAATATTGAATGGGCTTGGTCTAAAATATTCGAATTTTCAAATTTTGACGACGGAATCCTCGAACCAGTAAGTACAGTATGCCATCTGCAAAGCAACAGCTCTCAAATATAAAACACGGCAGAGCTATTAAGGCCAACGTATGGGTACTGACTTTTGGCCCACCCTGTAGATTCACATTTTTAGCACATTTGGTACTGAAACTTCCAGTTTTTATAGAGTCCCTTTATTTCTGGATACGTGGCTAGTATCTAGATAACGAATGTGGTGGCCCCGTTTGGTATCAATAATCACTCAAAATGAATTTTTATTCTCACTTTGGATTAATAGTTCTCCTTTATATATAAGGTTTTTTTTGAGGATGGTGTGTGACTGTAACGGGTCCGCATGACTGCCAAAGTCAGTACGTTTAACGCCTCGAGGAAGATCGCAGGATTCCTAGTCTACGCTACTCTTTTCATCATGGCTACGACACTCAATTTTGGGACATGGAATGTTTGCGGTCTATCGACCACATACAGGCAACACTTCGTTGCAGAGGACATTGACAGATATAACTTAGACATTTTAGCACTTCAGGAGACCAAGACACGTGAATACTTGGAAACAACACTCCCTGGACATCATCGATTGTTTTTGTTTGATCAGAGACACGATAGACACGGTGGACTTGGGTTTATTGTTAACAAGCGTTTTTTGGAATGTATAGTATCGCATCATCAGATCAGTGACAGAGTTGTTTATATGGACTTTAAATTAAGTGCTAAAAGGGTGGATCAACCACCTTGTCATATCAGAATTGTTAATTGTTACAGCCCTACGAATCCCAAGTCAGTTCAGAACCCCCGATTAGCGACCCAATTTTACGAGGAGCTACTCGAGGCTATCAGTGTTCCTGCTAGATTTGAAGTATGGATGTTAGGCGACTTTAATGCCAAACTTGGCAAAAGAAGCCCTGTTGATGTAGAAAATGGTTTACATGTGAATATTGGTAGACATGGTGTTGGGAGGAGGAATGAAAATGGTGAAAGGTTGCTACACTTTCTCACTGCTAATGGCCTGTTTGCTGCCAACACTTCATTCTCCCATAGCAGCAGACACATTACCACACGGACTGGTTGGATTCGGGATCGAGCAACCAGGAAAAGTAAACCTTATTTCCAACAGATTGACTTCATACTCTGCAAGTCCAGAAGCAAGGCACTGCTAACTGATGCCAGGTCATATGCAGGTACAAAGCACCGCAGTGACCATAAACTTGTTGTTGCCAAGGCAGATTTTTCGCAGCGCTTCAAGTTGTACAAGGAAAGCAGAGCATTTCAAAAGACTTATAACACAACAACCTTGATTGGAAGCAAACAAGTTCAACAACAATATCAGCAAGAACTTCGTCAGAAACTTGAGCAAACTGTATCATATCCTGACTTTACCTCCAACAACACGGAACAGCAATTTGATATGCTTTTTGGTGAAGTTAAAGAAGCTGCTGTTTCCACTGTGGGTTTTCGTGAGCCACAGCGAAAGAGGAATCATTCCTCTGACAGTCAAGTTGTTAGCATGTCTGAAGAAAGGAAACAACTTTTACAACAACTGAACAACAACGAATACAGAGACAGGACAGCTCTCAGAGCTAAAATCAACAGGCTCTCAAACGACATTACTAAACGGTTGAAAACATTGAGAGTTGAGTTAGCAAACAGCCCGAGTAGTGTTCGAAAGGGCGCCCTGTTTTGACATACCTCCTGAGCCGGTACTCATTTCCTCTCTGAGCTAGCTAGTGTATATCAGTTTCTTGTTGGTGTTTTGTCTGTGTTTGTTTGTCCGTAGTAGGAATTTACTGTAACTTTGGAGACTGGGCGCAGTAATGTCCCAGAGGGTTTGTAACATCATGGATGCTGACTAAGCTTACCTGATCCTCTCCAACTTGTATTAGTACACTACTTCATTCACACCAGTCATTTCACTACATTAAACTGATTGAGGTTATGCCCTTTGTACATGCTGAAGCGATATGCTATGATGAGTGGAATATGAGTTAGGATCAGTTTGGTCCGTTTCATGGCAAAAACATTTATTGATTTTGTATTAACCCTTCGGGGCTTGCGTGACCCTTATCATAGAACTGGTTTTCAGGACTGGCAGTCTGACCTATTGCCTTGCCAGCATAGGTGTACTTATATAGTTTTGCATGGTTCAGTTGCATAGTAGTGTCCGAATTGCACTGTTTCTAGCCCGAGTAGTGTTCGAAAGGGCGCCCTGTTTTGACATACCTCCTGAGCCGGTACTCATTTCCTCTCTGAGCTAGCTAGTGTATATCAGTTTCTTGTTGGTGTTTTGTCTGTGTTTGTTTGTCCGTAGTAGGAATTTACTGTAACTTTGGAGACTGGGCGCAGTAATGTCCCAGAGGGTTTGTAACATCATGGATGCTGACTAAGCTTACCTGATCCTCTCCAACTTGTATTAGTACACTACTTCATTCACACCAGTCATTTCACTACATTAAACTGATTGAGGTTATGCCCTTTGTACATGCTGAAGCGATATGCTATGATGAGTGGAATATGAGTTAGGATCAGTTTGGTCCGTTTCATGGCAAAAACATTTATTGATTTAGCAAACAGCCTAGCTGACTCTATAGCCACCATAGACGAAGGACGGAGAATGTTTGAAGCTGCTCGTCAACTATCAGGCAAACAGAAAACGGGTGCAGGCTCTGTGTCTGTTTTCAACACTGACAACCAACTGGTAGATAATGAACGAGACAAGGCTGAAATCATTCGCCAGTACTTCGAAGAACACTACACTGGACCTGACAGTGAACCACCACTAGAACCGTTCACAGGTAAACCTAGGCCCCTTCAAAACCCCATTACAGCGTTTGAAGTTGAGCTTGCGGCCAAGAAACTCAAGAACGGTAAAGCTGTTGGACCAGATGGGATCCCAAACGAATTTCTCAAACACTCTCCTGAAATCTTTTTTTCCACATTTGCACAACTTACTAATCGATCCTTTGAGCTCCATGAACATGTACCTTCTTTCACAGAGGGATACCTTACTCCGCTCCAAAAACCTGGAAAGCCACTAGGCCCCCCTAAGAGTTTGCGCCCACTTTGCCTACTAAACGGTACTAGAAAGATATTGTCCATGATAGTCTTAAAGCGCATCCAAAGGCAAGTATCTCAGTACACTGGTCCTTGGCAGAATGCCTATAAACCTGGCCATAGTTGTGCAAATATCGTTTGGACCCAGCGAATACTAGTGTCAGTTGTCAAGGAAAAACGCTGGTCTCTTCATAAGATGGGCATTGACATGTCCTCTGCTTTCGATACCATAAAGAGGTCGGTATTACTTGACATTTTAGCTGATGCTGGTTGTAGTGAGGACGACATTCGACTGGTAAGGTATTTGCTCGCAAATACTAAACTGAAGATCAAAGTGAACTCAACAATATAGGGAGAGTTTATTGTCACGATTGGAGCTTTTCAAGGCGACAGTTTGTCTGGAAACTTGTTCACTCTATATCTGGCAGCAGCACTTTACCACCTGCGTGCTGTTATGTCCTATCTAAGACCTAACCCTCCCATAGCTGAGAATCTGTTACCCCTCGAGTGGGAGTACGCAGATGATGTTGATTTTACTGATGAGGATAAAAGCAATTTGGAGTCTTTGTTGCCAATATGTAAAGAAATATTGGAAGAGTGGAATCTTTTTGTCAATGAGTCAAAAACCGAGTTCACCCACTTCTATCTGGCCAGCAAGAACGAGGTTGATAACAAAGGAGAGAAACTCAGAGGTAGAGAACCTTGGAGGTCATCTATCTCTTTAGGCTCTAAGTTGTGTAGCATCGAAGATGTCAAGAGACGATGTATACTTGCTAACATTGCTTTTCAGAACTACAAAAAAGTCTGGGAACAAGGTAGACGTATACCCTTGAAGATTCGACTCAAGATATATGAAGCACAAGTTGTTTCATTACTGATGTATAATTGCAACAGTTGGGCAACATCTAAACAACTCCTTCAAAAACTTGATGTCTGCCACAGGAATCATCTCCGTACGATCATCGGCATGACCTACCCTAATGTCATACGAAATGTGACTCTATACAAACGCTGCGAAGTTGTTCCACTAAGTGAGCGTGTTGCTCGTGCACGGTGGAGAATGCTCGGTCACATCCTCCGCAGTGATAATAACTCACCTGCCCAGCTTGCCTTACATTTTGCTGTAGAGAGTCAGAGTTTGATGAGAGGTAGAGTCGGACGACACCAGTCAAACTTGTTAAAAACTATTTTGAACGATTTTTTTATTAAATACTTTTCAAATTTTACAGAGTACAGCAATAGATGAATATAAAATAGAATCGTTCAAAATATCGCCCCCATCTGTAAAATATGATGGGCACCCAAACACGGTAAACACATAGTTGACTATGTCCGCAGTAACTTGGACCCATTACATCGAATTAATCTAAATCCAAAAATTTATGAAAAAATATTTAATAACAAACAAATCCATGGTGAATAACTGTGGATATAGAGTCAAAATTGGTATTTCAATACGTCAAATTCCAGATACATTAGATACAGGTCTGAAATGGTCATTAATGTGTGAGAAGGTGTGCGGGTGAAGTGTGATATGATGTTGAAAGTATAGGAAGGTAGATAAAAAAATTAATAAAACAAAAATAATAATAATATGGGGAGCAAAGAGACTAGGCTAGACTGTTGTTTCACTATCCAATAAACATTTCCATAGATGCTTAGTGACCTCAGCTTTGAAAAGGCTAGTAGACACAATCTGTCTTACCTGTAAAGGGAGTCCATTCCACAGTATATGGGTTCTGTAGAAAAATGATTTTGCCAGTGGGCTATTTGAGGTACATGTGGTGTGTGAATTCTGACTTAACTTAGGTAAAATTGATGACACAATAGACAGACTGTCGAGGTGGCAACGTCTTAGTCGAGAAGTGCCCTGATATAAAGAGAGATAGTGAGGCAGCGATACAGGAATTAAATTGTTAAGAACTTTGTGGAAAAAAATAAGATCATTCAAGTCAAACTTTTGAGACAAAGGGAGAATGTCGACAAGCTTGCACTTTTTGACATATTGCTCAGGTGGATAACTGCGGCCCTCTTCAGACAGAATCCATTTAATAGCTCTCTTTTGGAGACTTGGTTTTCCTGAAACAATAAGCACTTTACATTTTGCTGGATGGAATCGCATTTTGTTTCTTAGTGCCCAGTCAGAGAGATAGTCTATATCCATTTGTAAATTAGTATTATCAGAAGATGAATGTATTTTGCGCCAGATTTTTGTATCATCGGCATACAAAACAATATCAGTATTATCCGAAAGGCCAAGAGGAATATCATTGATAAACAATACAAAAAGTAAGGGACCAAGAATAGAGCCCTGGGGGACACCAGAATTAACTGAGAGGGTAGATGACATCTCATTACCAATAACCACTCTTTGGTAACGGCCTTGAAGGTAATTGGTAAGAAATTTGAGAAGTGTACCATCAATGTTATATAAGGTCTTTAGCTTATGAAGAAGGATATCATGATTTACAGAATCAAATGCCTTAGCAAAATCAAAATACACAACATGATTGATAATGTTTTCGTTAAGAGACAATGCCAGGCTATCACAAAAGTCAACCATATTGGTTGTGCATGACTTGTGCTCTAGAAAACCATGCTGCCTGGGATCAAGAAGGGTAATTGTCAAAGAAAGCAGTTTACGTTTAACAATGCGCTCAAAAACTTTCATGACTAAACAAGTAAGGGATATTGGTCTATAGTTTTCAACCTCACTTTTCTTACCTTTCTTAAATATTGGGACAACATTTGCAAGTTTCCATTCTTGTGGAATGTAGCCGCTGTTGTAAGATCCGCGAAAAATGCATGTTAGAGGGTAAGCTAAACCTACGGAACAATTTTTGAGAATTTTACCGTGTATGCCATCTGGTCCCTGGGCTTTATTTGAATTAATATTTGAAAGAAGCTTACGAACATCCCGATGATCGAAGTCAATATCAAAATCAACATCATTGACATAGGAGATGTCAGTGTCATAAAGTGAAGGATCCGAAAACTGGTTATAAAAGAAAGAATTGAAAAGTTCAGCTTGAGCTTTGGGTTTGAACCGAAGCTGTCCAGAATAACTAACACAATTAGGAATACGGCAGGAGTTAGATTTATACTTAACATGTGACCAAAACTTCTTAGTTATAAGCGCTGGATCATCACTATTGAAAAGATTGTCTCTTATTTTGGCTGATGAAAGCCTCTTAAAATCTTTACGGCTAGTAACAAACTTTAACTCATCAGAAATAGAACCAGAAATTTTAAATTTAGCTCTGAGTCTATCTTTTTTACGGCATGAAGAAAAAAGTTCACTATCGAACCACGGGGGTTGAAACTCTGATTTAATAGTTACTTTAGGAATATGTATATCAACTAAATTCATAATGCAGTCTTTAACTAACTTCCAAGACGAATCAGGATCTAGGCATTCTAGGACTTGCCAATTAATCGAGCATAATTCACGATTAATCATGTCCCAGTTTGCTTTCTTATAATTATAGATTTTACGTTTAGGAGTTTTCTTGCGGGAAAAGGAGCTTTTAATTGAAAAATGACAGAAAACTTTAGACTTGTAAATACAGACGATTTATACCATTTAAGACTTTTTGCAACAGATAGAAAAGCATGGAGAGAGTTAAGCATGATTTAGTTTATTCAGTGTTATTTTTCTCTTGGTGACTTATCAGGTCATCAAGATGTTCTTTATGTTCTATTTTTGATTTGAATAAAGTTATATAATAATAAATAATATAAGGTTAAATCAAAGACTATAGAGGAAGTTGCTAAGTTGCTAATGAGATATACCAGGTTGAAAATGCATCGAGTAAGAAAGAATCGATTGGAGTCGTCATAGAAAATGAAGTAGCAGAGAAAGATCACCATGAGAAATTTACGGAGGAAGATCAAGAAAAGGTAACAATTGGACAGAAGACGATAGAGGAGGTTGTTAATGAGATAGCTGGAAAGCCAACAATATGGTCGATATTATTCGTTATTGTGGCAATGTCTTACGGGTTTAGCGTGGATTCACTTACTTATCTCACTGTTTTTGCAGGTTAGTTTTTGAAATGCTGGTCACTGGTCAAGCCAAACAATGCAGAAATATGATTTATTCATAAACATTTGTGGATTCTTCAGAAATTTAAATTGTAAACCTGGGTTCATTATATTTTTAAAAATAATTTACCCATTTCAGGAACACTCTCATACGAAAAATGGGAATGTGTTTCTACACTGTGCACTAAACTCTTGAACAACTCCACTGATAAAACAGACTTTTACACAAGGAATACGCTATGTAACTCTAACTTGAAGTTAAACGAGGACTTTATTTTTACAAATGATGGCAGGACCTCTTTGGCTGTAGATTGGGGATTGTTCTGTGACGGTGAACCTAAAATGTCATTTCTTTCATCCTCCATTTTTGCAGGTTTGTTGAATAAATGATTGCTTCAAGTCTCAAGTCCGAGTTAAGATGTTAGGCCCTTTTTCAAAAAGAGTTCAATATGATAATATATTATTATGATAATGAATAATGTGCAATGTTGTTATTTTGAATTATGTTATGTAACTACTATATAATTTTCCTATCTGATTCTGTCTACCGTCCTCACAGGAGCATACGTAGGATTTCTGGTAGCTTCACCTCTTTTTGACACACTGGGACGGAAAAAGGTGACAATTGGAGCGGCGATTCTAACTTTAATCACAACCATAGCTGCCGGATTCAGCCAAAACTACTATTTAATGGTAAGTGGTAGTTGTGTTAATCAAGATTTCAACTACCACAGTGAACAACTAATTTAATGAAACTTGATATTCCGTAGAAAACAGCCTACAATAGCACTAAAGATTCTCTCCTTCAGGTGGTGTTACGATTCCTCTGTGGAGTAGGCAAGAACGCCTGCTGGATGGGGATCTACTGCTGGATATTGGAGTTCACCCCAGCACGCATGCGGATCTTCATGACCATACTTGCTTACACCTCCCATGGAACAGGCTTTCTGCTGGTTGATATGATAGGCTACTACGTCAAAGACTGGAGGCACATCTTCTTTATCATCAGTACAGTCACATTTCTTGGGACTGTCCCAATGTTCTTTGTACCCGAATCCCCGAGATTTTTCCTTTCCAAGAATAAGCTAAGTAAAGCTAAAGCTAGTTTGGAAAGATTCTCCAGGTACATAGGGAGCCCTAAATCTATGGCAGAAGTAAATTTGGTCTTCACTCCACACAAACAGAACTGGTTGAAGCAGATCAAGGATTTCTATGTATACCCAAAGTTGGGTATACAAACCATGCTCCTTGCCATTGTCTGGATGTTAACTTGCGCACTGAGTTACACTTTTAACTTCGGCTGGTCCAAAATTAGCAAGGATTTCTACATGGGATACGCGTTTGCTGCAGTTGGAACGATCCTATCCTACTACCTGATCATACCAGTCAATATTCTCCTCGGGAAAAAGCGTGGAATGATCTGCTTCCTTGTGATAAGCGGCTTCTCGTACTGTATTGCAATGATCGACTACAACATTTCCCTAGACTTCACCATTGAGCATCTTGCAAGCCTTGTGGGGTTCATGACCATTACAAGCACTTACGCCATGACAAACCAGTACACAGGAGAGTTGACCCCAACATCCCATAGGGGTATGGTATTCTGTATTTGCGGGAGTTTTGGGAGAATCGGCAGCTTTCTTGGTCCCTACATCCAGCTTCTCTTTACCATCTTGGATAAACGGATAACCTTTGGTATCTTTACAGTGGTCACAATTATTTGTGGGATCATCATAACCTTCACGAGGGACCCAACAGGGAAAGATATGCCGGAAACACCAGCAGAATTGGGCAAAGTTAAGTGAACAATTAAATAAATATTTATATTTATAAGGATAATTGGACAACACTGTAGAAAGGGAACAAATAATTCTTTCATCACATGACACTGTGACATTTGGAGATAAGGATTTAAAGCATGTAAATAAGTTAAATTATTCTATTCATTTATTCAACAACTGTGTGTTTCTCTGTTGACGAATTCAATTTAATTTTCAGCCTTCTACTGTGAAATATAGGTGATTAGGTCATATTTTCCATAACTTACCAGACTAAAAGAGATCTTGGTAATAACTCCCAAACTACAGTTTGATAATTCAAAAACAATGATTTCTATACTACAAAAAAAATTATCGCTCAAATGCCCAAAAGATGTCGTGAGCTAGTTTGGTGTAGGCGGTGGGTCAAGCTCATCTTCACAGCTTTATCAACTCAGTCAGAACATTGACCACTACAGTCTTGATATTTTGGGTATTACTGAAACTCGTATGCCAGGATCTGGAAGTACACTTTTGGACAATGGTAGTCTACTTATTCATTTTGGTAGGGGAGATGGTATCAAAAGGCAAGGGGTTGGCCTATGTCTTTCCAAAAAGGTCAGGAACTCCCTGATCTCTTATGTACCTACATCAGAGCGGGTCTTAACAGCTAGGTTACACGGCAAACACCTCAACATATCTGTTGTTGTAGCCTACGCTCCGACTGACGGTTAATGGTGAAATGTCTGATTGGTTCTCTGTTAATTCGGGCACTGGACAGGGTGATATTCAGGGCCCTCCTGTATTTAATTTTTGTCTGAACTTTGGAATCTTTTTGGCCGAGGTTCACAAGGCAATCAGTCATGGTGCTGTACTGCAAAAGGAACTAAAGGGTGCAAATGAAAAAAGTTATCATGGATAGTGACTACGCTGATGATCTGGCTGTGATGGACAATACTGAAGAAGGGCTGCAAGAGTCCACTGATCTTATAGCTTATTACACCTCTTATGCTGGGTTAAAGATCAACGCTAAAAAGACACAATGCATGGCGATCAGCAAGTGTGCGTTCCAGCGACCTTACACCGAAAGAGACAGTATAAAGTTAACAGTGGATGGAGAACCTGTTGAACAGATCAGCAACTTTGTTTATCTTGGTGCCAACATCAATGGGGATGGTACCATTGACCGAGATCTTGACATCAGGATCCAGCGTGCTAATGGTGCTTTCCATCAGCTTTCGAAGATATGGAACAGTCGAACTATAAGAACGCCCACCAAGATCCGTATCTACAAGGCTTCTGTTATTACCATTCTGTTATATGGAGCTGAAGTCTGAAACACAACAAAGAAGCAGATGAAACGGTTTGAGGTCTTCCATCTGACCTCCCTGAGAAGAATCTTGAAGATAAAGTGGTTCTTCCATGTCTCCAATGAATGCCAGAGACGCGGTTTCCCAATTTCTTACTGGATTGGAAACCAAACTATGGAAAGAGACTGAGAGGACGACCCCGCAAAGGCTGGATGGCCTGTGTACTCGAGGATGCGGCTGAATTTACAGGTGTCGATAACATCAGCAGAGATGCAGTAAAACAGTTGGCTCTAAAGCGAGTGGAATGGAGGAACATGTTACGCCGTAAAAGAGATGTGTGTGATGCAGGCCACTCCAACGACTAGGAGGAGACCTCTTCATGTATGTATGTATGTGGGTCAACATCTCTGGAGACCATAACACAACGAATTGTTTATAAAGTTATAACACAACAAATTGTTCATAACACAACAAATTGTTCATAACACAACGAATTGTTTATAAAGTTATAACACAACAAATTGTTCATAACACAACAAATTGTTCATAACACAACAAATTGTTCATAACACAACAAGTTGTTTATAACACAACGAATTGTTCATAACGCAACAAATTGTTTATAACACAAATAATTGTTCATAACACAACGAATTGTTCATAACACAACAAATTTTTCATAACACAACGAATTGTTCATATCACAACAAATTGTTTATAACAAAACGAATTGTTTATAACACAACGAATTGTTCATAACACAACAAATTGTTCATAACACAATGAATTGTTCATAACACAACAAGTTGTTTTAGCAAAAAATCACGAACCCTCTAGGCAAGTCTCATTTGCTTTTTTTAAACAAGAATTGCGCCTGTTGTTTCGTTTTGGCGGACGCTAGATTTCCATTCACTATAACTATCTTACTATATATAAAGCGAGACGATATATATGTGTTTATCCGAACCATTTTACTGACACCACGGCATCAAGTTTAACGCGACTTTCCGCAAAAACCGTAAAAGATATACAACTGAAACTTTTTTGACTGGGTCAAATGCGTTAATGGCCTCCAAATCAGCATGAAAAAATGAAAAATTGGCCAATGAATAGGAATTTTAGAGCCCAAAATTTGGACCCCCAAGTGGTGTCAAAAACGCGAATTAAATACGTAATACTTATTTTAGTCTCTTGAGTCTTGACACCATTTTAGGGTTATACGGGTTCCTGCCAGTAATTATAAGCTCTAATCAGCTCACTTCATAATAATAATATTGATAAATTATGCTTTAAATAGGGAAACACTTGAAATTTAATTCAATTGCCGTAGAACTTAACTTATCTAACGTATTTTAACGTATCTGTAATTCAAGAAATTGTAAGTAAAAGTAAACTATACTCATGTTTTATACACATCAGTAGACTACGCGTGCCACGTACAAATTGGGCTCATAGTGAAAGGTTGCTTTCTGTGAAAGGTTCAAAGGTTGATTTCTGTTCCTTTTATCATCGTCTGAGTTAACTTTAAGAAAAACATCCACAGAAAGTAACTGTAAGCCTGCAATCCATGCCATTGCAGGCTTACACATAACATATTGAGCCATTAATATAGGATAGTTCACTATATTATTAGTCCAAATTCAGTGCCCAAACGTTCTGGCTTAGTCTTACTGCTCGAACACTCATCACTTTAATGAATATTTGTATTCTTATAATATAATATCGTGATAATATATCTATTATTTTTGTCTGTCTGTACTGTATGTATGTATGTACGACACTACGACCGCCCACGTGCAAATTATATGAGAAATATGAAGTTATGTAAAAATCAAAAGGTTGCAATTGCAAAGCAACGGTGCTGGAATGCGCACGTGCACTGATATGATTGTCGAACGGCATTTTGATCGGTTTTGTGGTAATTACGTTGTGTTTAGTGCAAGCTACATTTTGATCGGCTGTGTCTTCGGTTGTGACGGATATTTTTGATGCGATAAAAACTGACTAGTACCAAAGAATACTATTAGCTTCCTCCCTGTGACCACGGACTTTCTAGTATACTAATAATATGATCGTGAAAGATGTTAATTTTTCCTCATTCGGTTAATTATGAAAATCAATATATATATATTATTATTCCTCGCAAGTTCGCAGTTATCTCGACGGTGAGTAGTAAGTCCGAGTACGGAGATGTCAATCAATATTATTTTAACACTCAGCAATGCAGCAGCAAGCACTAAACCTTTCAGATAAGCACAACTCCAAAAATAAACGGTTCGACTAAGGCAGATATTTCCGACAAGGATCTTGTAATGAAAGAGCACTCGAAGTTTGAGACAGTTATTGAGGTAATTCAAGAAAATGTCACGGCCGGAAAAAAGTCGATAGAGGAGGTTGTTAATGAGATATACAAGGTTGAAAATGCATCGAGTCAGAAAGAATCGATTAAAGTCATCATAGAAAATGAAGTCGCAGAGAAAGATCACCATGAGAAATTTACGGAGGAAGATGAAGAAAAGGTAACAATTGGACAGAAGACGATAGAGGAGGTTGTAAATGAGATAGCTGGAAAGCCAACAATATGGTCGATATTATTCGTTATTGTGGCAATGTCTTACGGATTAAGTTTGGATTCACTCACTTACATCACAGTTTTTGCTGGTTCGTATTTTAGAACGTCAGATTTGTCTTGACTCTTTAGTTTTTTAAAAGCATGAATCTTATTGAACTAGGTACTAGCAGGAACAAAGATTTCTGTTAGTTTCTCAATAAGTTTTACATCAAAATAATGTCAATGTAATTTTGTATGGCTGAAATGTAACGCCTGATTGTCATAAACTATATAATAATTAATTGAATTTTCAAATTTTAAAAATATTTCCAAACCAGGAGCGCTACCGTACAAAAAATGGGAATGTGTTTCAACACTGTGCACTAAACTCTTGAACAACTCCACTGATAAAGCATACTTTTACACAAGAATACGCTATGTAACTCTAACTTGAAGTTAAACGAGGACATTGTTTTTACAAATGATGGCAGGACCTCTTTGGCTGTAGATTGGGGACTGTTCTGTGACGGTGAACCTAAAATGTCATTTCTTTCATCCTCCGTGTTTGCCGGTAATACTAACAGCGCCATTCACATTTTAAAATGATATTTTTCACATAATTATCAATTAGAATAAGTACCAAATCCAATGAGCCTTTCATTATTTAGGATTCCACATACTATACATATTTATCATATTTATGTAGCCTTTCAATATTCTCAGGGGGCTATGTAGGATTTCTTCTAGCAGCACCTCTACTTGACAAGCTCGGACGAAAAAAAGTGACCATAGCAATGGCTCTTATAAGTTTGATCTCAAACTTAGTCAGTGGATTTAGTTCTGACTACTCTTTCATGGTGAGCAAATCTCTATGTTTGGAGGGGGTCTTGAGCAAATCTCTACGTTATATTTTGTTAATGATTGAGTTGTAAGAGTTGATATTATTAACACGATACCTTTAGACTCCAATAAACAAATTATTTCCGTTATGTTACAAGTTCGTCCACAAACTTTCAGGTTGTTCTGCGATTCTTCTGTGGTCTTGGGATAAATGCGTGTTATATGGGGGTATATTGCTGGATATTGGAGTTCACCCCTACAAACCTAAGAACCTCAATGACCACCCTTTGTCTTACTAGCATTGGTTTGGGTTTCTTACTGGTTACTATGATAAGCTACTACGTAAACAACTGGAGGCACATTTATTTAATAATGAGTTCAGTTACTTTTATAGGGACTGTTCCGTTGTTTCTGTTGCCCGAATCCCCAAGATTCTTACTCACCCAGGGTAAACTTGATGAAGCAAAATATAGCTTGGAGAAATTCTCGAGGCAGATAAGGAGTCCTAAATCTATGGCGGAAGTAAATTTGGTCTTCACACCACACAAACAGAACTGGTTAAGGCAGATCAAAGATTTCTATGTTTACCCAAACTTGGGTATACAAACCATGCTCATTGCCCTTCTCTGGATGTTAAATTGTGCACTAAGTTACACTTTTAACTTCGGCTGGTCCAAAATAAGCAAGGATTTGTACATGGGTTACGCCTACGCTGCAATAGGGACCATACTGTCCTATTACGTGCCTATACCGGTCACAAAGATGTTAGGAAAAAAGGTTGGACTGATAAGCCTCCAGTTGACAAGCTGTTTCTTTTACTGCATTGCCATGATTGACTTCAATATCTCTGAAACGTTCACTGTGGAGCATATGGCCAGCCTTCTAGGGTACATGACCATTATAAGCAGTTACACCATGATTTACCAGTTGACTGGTGAGATGGCTCCAACATCCCATAGGGGTATGGTTTTCTGTATTTGCGGGAGTTTTGGGAGAATCGGCAGCTTTCTTGGTCCCTACATCCAGCTTCTCTTCACCATCTTGGATAAACGGATAACCTTTGGTATCTTTACAGTGGTCACGATTATTTGTGGGATCATCGTAACCTTCGCGAGTGACCCAACAGGAAAAGATATGCCGGATACACCTGTGGATGTTTAAGACACAAAGATTTTTAAACCTGATGGCAAATGTGAGGAGGGTCGAGGGTACATTGAGAATTGATCCAACAGGAGACAATTTACTTATAATTATTTTGATTTCAAAGGAAAATAATTAACAGAACACGAACGGTGAAGCTTTATTTCGACTTAGTTAATTCGTGTGAGTTTTATTCAGATGAGTTTTATTATTATTTAAGTGGGGTTTGATTGTTTGTACAAGGTAATTTGTAATAAATCACGTTGATATTATTTATATATTTCTGGTTTATTGAACCAGAAAAAAAGGTAACTTTGTAGAAACTCAAGATATGTGTACATACTTCAGATTTTTGCCATAAATAATATTAGTGATACTATTGGAAATTGTCGGTACTTGGTATTTTTAGGAATCTCTTTACATGATAATCAACAGTTCGACGACAGTGTTTACCCAACATTCTGAACCCAATATATACTATAAATTAACAGCTTCTAGACTATTTATAGCCACAGTGAAGGCTGACAAAGTGGGCAGAAGTACGTGCTAATAACCACCACGCAAAGTGTGGCAAATAGCACCAATAGTATAGTAGTATAGTAGTCGCTGGTATGTAGCACAAATTAGTCGGTGCACCGACCAATTTGCTCGAGTGGAAGGAAGAAACAGGAGTCTGACTGTAAATAGTACGTGCTTTTAAATCTTTTTAAAATCACACCCTCCAAACAACCAAATTGAAATTTCTCTACACAACTGTTCGATGGTAAGTTTGTAGTTTACCAAAATAATTCAAACCAGACGAGGTAAATACAAGCAAACTGCCGCTAGGTTTGATGTCTACAACAAGAATTTGGCCGTCAGATTCGTCTAAAAGCCGAAAAGATGCCGCCAAATTCGTAGCGATTTGTACGATTTTCAATAGCCACTATGACTTGGTAAGTGTCAGCAACAAATTTGCACCCCGGTGCATACATTGCCTGAGACAACTCGTGCTATGTGAATATATTATCCCGAAATTCTTTACTTCTTTTCTTAGACAAGGTTAGATAGAAATGTCAACGTGTATCCAAATCAATCAGTAGTCCGGTTATATTTTCGCGAATGCCGCTCGTTTAGAAATTGCTGCAAGTTGCAACCAGCAAGAGTTGTTCGACATTATATTATAATACTTTATACTAGTGATGAGTCTCAACTTTTAACAAATTTATGTAACGCTCAAAATAAAAATGTTATGTTTTTTGTGTGTTGAAAGCAAGACAATTAGAAATCCACTGTTCTCTACTTTTGCACAACTCACATACAACTCACATACAATCGTTGAGCAGAATATTTATGTTTATTTGGTTTGGACTTTGAAGCCTGTCAGAGCTTATGACAAATTAGTGTTTGATCTTGAAGCTCTTCCATGACCTGTTCGAAAACGTTGTTAACAACTAATGAACGAAGCTGCGCCAAAAGAGGTACAGGTCCTTTTAGGCTCTATAGTGTAACCCTGTGATAAGGGAACCTTACAAGAGGGCTCATTCCTTTCAAACTCTTGTTATTAGCAATGTTAGCGATTTCTCTCGCAAATTTTATTTCTAATTTTAGCACTGAAAATATAAATCAGCTGCGTCTCAAGAAATCATTGGTTAACTCTGACATAAATAAATAATAATTATAATTAAATCTAGTATTTATGGCGAATGTGGTTGATATTTTGGCACTGAGAATATAAGTTAACTGTGGACAGTGGACACGAGGACTAATCGCAATTACGATAAATAACAAGACTAGATTATCATTAGTAAAGTTGGCTGTTATGGTAACATGTAATTGGTTGTTCAAATTTGACTAAATTGTAGTCGCTAATTCCAACTATAGTTCATGTTCTATTAAGCATTCAAGACAATTTGTTTCTGTCCTAATGCCTTTATTTGTATTAAAATACTGTGACCCTTAGCTTATTGTTTATATATCGTCCAATCATGAATATGCGATCATTTTCTCAATGATCTCGAACATACGAGGGGCGATTGTAAGCCCAAGGACTACGAATATTATGAATAATTCTTCATTCTCATCGATAATTCTTGTTGATCAGTAATGCACCGCCGATATTATACTCTTAATCATCATTCAGCATACTTGCACCATATTATGTTTTGATACGATTAAAAACTTTTCTCAGAGCCTCCCTACTGATTAATTGCCACAATACCAAGAGATAGCTAGCAACATGGCACAACGCTCCTTTAGCAACATGGTACGACGCTCCTTTTTTAGACGCGCTATGAGTATGTATTGTAATTCATAGACATGTCCGTGTTATGAACGCAGCTCTAGTCCAAGAGACAGTAAATGTTAATGTTAGGGGCAACAGTTCTTGTTAATAACAGGACTTTAGGAGACCAATTGTTGCATATTTATTAGGATTCAAATCTCTCTCGAGGGATCACGCAATTACGTAATTGGATGGCAGGATGGTGGCCGCCAAGGCTGGAGTACAATAAAACCCTCGCTTTGGCTTACCAAGTCAATGACAATATAACATTGGCCCAACAAGCACGTGTTGGTCATTTAGGTAGGGAGATTTAATGTTAATGGTACACGGCGCACGGTGCCGTTTAACATCGTTGTCAAGGTTAACTAGGTTTTGTTTGCTTCCTGGGGCAGCCCAATAATAATACTTGTCAGGGTTTCTTGACTTATCCCCCTTTTCGAAATCATGATTTCCGAATTCTGATGTCTTCGATGAAGAATTAAACTCTGTGTAGTTTGCTTATTTTGTAACGCGTGAAATTAGCACGAGCATTTGATAAGTCGCTACTGTAAGCTGTCAGGTTAATTATTTTTAACCAGCCAGATTAAAAACCCTGGATATAGCCTTCCCACTTTCAGCCAAATCTATAATATGGAAAACGTTAAATTTCTCACAATTACAATGGCTTTATATTAGCATAATATAATGTATTACTTTATTATATTTACAACTTTATAATTTCCACTTAAACGTGGGAACAGCTTGGAGCACAACAGTACTTAAAGCTATATAATTTGAGACACTAGTCCTCCTCGTAAGACATTAGCAATGAAGCATTTGTCAGTAGACTTCAGTAATAGACCATTAGTTGTGAGTAAATAGCGCAATTCTTTGAGTAAACGTGACTTTCATTATTTTATCGTTTGGCGAGTTGTGCGAGTTAAATTCTCGACAACTTTAACTCTTTAAATGTCTCAAATGTCTTAAACGAAAAATACGAGACCGTCACTTCAGTCAATTGAACAAGCTAAACAGTAAATCACTTAAACAGCTGCAAAACACCGTTTACAGATGGTAACTGAGGAGAGTTCCGCACAAATGTTACTCACCTCGAGTTTCTAGTATTTCTCGACCGTACTCGCTTTATCAACCTCTTACTAGGCTTTCCAGTGACCTGCAATTAAATTAGTCTAATTAGTTAATAATCAATAGATTGTAAGTAGCGCTTGATTTAATATTGTAATTATTAAATTACTGGGTATAGACTAGTAATAACTCGCAACAACTCTAACAGTATAGAGTAACACATTATGGTTTTAAAGATGTGACCAGTCTTGATAAGAACATTCAGAGGAGTTCCATTCTATGTACTTTTAAACCTACATTTTTATACCGATGTTATAATAATATGTTTTTGACCATTAATTTCTGTTCCTAATCCTACTCAGCAACATTTGCACTATATTGTTTAGTGCATACCTTTCCATACCTCTAAGTCTATATGTCTCTCAACAGTGTCCAATAACGAACTAGGAAGGGCGTACGTCATTCACGGTCAGGGACAAAAAATATGAAGTCATTTTCTGTCTGAAATTGCAGCTCTTGAAATCGTTCTTGAATTTTTGTCATGGTGTTGTATCTAAAATAAACGAAAAATAGTCAAAAATGGAAAACTAGTAGAGCCATGGTGTATCCTGTCATATAAATTCATCACTATTAACTATTAAGTAAAATTTCCTTTTGCACAATCCAAAAATAGTCTTAATCGGAATAAGTTGTTATCTTTAAAAACTTTTTTCTCTTTTTCTCAATGATAAGATATTTGAACTCGATTTAATCTTGTGAAACATAGCAATAATTTTTTATTAAATTCTTGAAATCAGATTGGTCACGTGTGAACGACTATTTTGCAAGGTTTGCAGAAACATTTCCTATTATCTCCGCGATATCATGGCATCTTTCCAATTGGCCCCTCCAATTGTTTTGCAGAAATATCAGGGTAATGACATAATACTGTGACATATTATGAAGCATAAATTAAATTGACGATTACCTGAATAAATACAGATGCGTGATCGGCGTGAGTATTATGAATATCGATAACGAAGCCGCTTATATTAACATGTCCCACAGAATATGATTATAGTAATATACCTTCGCGACGTTTTGTAACATTTGGTAAACTTTTGTAACATTCGGACAACATTTGTAACATTTGGTGATCTTTGACATCAGACTGCTTATATTCAGATGCTTGTTAATGACTCTCGTGACTTTCAGGTGATAACCTCATAACCTGGAGTGTCACCTCAAAAATATTCGGTCAAAGTTAACCCAGAATTATTAAATTATTCGTGAATAATGAAATATTCTGCATTTTAAATGCTGGATACTTAAACAGTTACAGCGTTCAGATCTCAGAATAATTTTATTTTACGTGACACATCTTGACTGCATTTATCACTCTCAGAGACGATTAAAGACCTCAATATCGGAGACACCACCACTAGTTCAGTTTTGTGTATTTGCACGACGTTTCACGTTGACGACGTTTTAGATGGTTTTCTTTAGTAGATTTTTAAAAGAATTTTCGTCGCATATGAGATTTTTATATGTTTAGTTAATGCTCAGTAATACAGGACCGAATTTTATCACTACCCGAGTGAAATTAAGTTAGAATAATCAAAGTCATCACAAACCCCCTCCCCTCGGCTGATTACGTAACATGTGAACGACCCCTCATGAAATTCCCGATTAATAGCTGCTTGATAAGAATCACCGCAACAGTAAAATTTTAGGTTTAGTAAATATATTACTGAATGTGTGTACTATTTAGTTTCTCTCGAACATTTCTCATGTTGTAATAAAATTACAAGCCGGACTCGCTTCACGATATTGGTTAACTCAGGTAAAAGAGCTGGTCTTGAAAGCTCGTGAACCTAGTTTAATATCATGGGGTGGTGCCATGTGTTGTCTGACATTAAAGCAACTAATTTAATTAAAATATGAACTCGACGCTGGGTTGCTAGTTCGCTGACCTCGTTTATCTTTGTACGTGACACTGCCAACTTAAAATAAAAATAAAACTACTTAATTTGGGTTGAGCGGTATCCTAACCACTATGAAACTACTGAACTGGCTGGAATTATATCCTTGCCACTAGTCCGGTAAGACGGATCCCAACCATTCTTACGAAGCAGTTTTAGATATTACGTGTCTTACTGGTACAGCTTAAAGATTGATCTGGCTGAGCACGTAGGTAGCTAACGATTCCCTCGGGTATGAATATTGTGAGTGAGTTTTCGTTGTGTTGCTGGACGAATGAAACCACATGGTTGTTGGTTTAGCTAGATTATGGGGACAGACGCAAATAAGGTAGATTAAGAATAATGATAGATGTAGAAGTATGGTCATTTTGAAGGGTTTTTTTTAATTAAGCAGGATACCTTATTTCCCAAAAATTTGGGCAACGAAAAATTTGAGCGGGCCTCTCGCCCTAATTTATTGCACACAAATTAATTGTTAAAATCTTTTTGTCGACTAACATTTTTGCTAACCAAAATTTTGGTATTTGACAATCGTCAATCATTTATACTTGTAGCTTTATTTCAACCATTCGTCAGCCTTACTGTATAAACCACAAATTTGAAATTTCGAATGAATATTGTGGGTCATGGTAGAGGTCTCTACTAATTTTATAAGGGAGCCAGGATGAATTAATCATGCATGAGGTAACTTTATCAAACTTTGAAACCACGGATTTATGTAACATTTCCATGTCTTTATCTGATCAATTTGTCGCAGAAATAAAGTTTTACAGCTATTGTAATGTAGTCCGAGGAGCCCTAGTCTTCCTCGCGTCCTAAGATAGCGGTTCTCTAGTATCATATCTATAAAGTTTATAATTATATGCGAATAAGAAGCCAACAATGGAAGTTACGCAATATTCGAACTTGCATGCTTAATCGGCCCTAATTATGCTGGTTGGCATTCTTGTTGGAGTAATGTTCAGGCTGTCTTAATTGTAATTTCAGGATAGTATGCATGGTATTTTTTCGCATATTTAGTGTTGCAGAGTTGCAGGAGTTCGTCTTCTCCTTTCCTTCAACTCCGTTCTGATTTTTGATGCAGTTTTATGTTTCACATGTTTACCGAACAGATTTGCTAGTGATGAATTCAATAAAATAAAATATATACCGGGTTTGTACTTTCCCCCCGAGAGGCCCTGTATACAGAAGTTCCACTGTAATTAATATGACAAGGCAGTAATAATTATAGTACTCATTATAGGGTACCTGATTAGTGTTGTTGATATCAGGAGTGTTGCGTTCCTGGTTGGTCTCCTCCTTATTCTCCTCCTTATCTTTGTTTGTTTCTAGACTGTCATCCAGACCACTGTCTGACTGCTCACTTGCTGAAACAGTTCGTGTCACTCAAAGCTGAGCCGCCAAGCGGTAAAAACTAAAGTTATTATGACGTAATGATATCGTGTTTTTTATCAGAAACCTAGATACCTACCCAGTACCCATTACCCAGCCTAGTGCCTACCCTAGCCTGTATTTCAGTGCTGGCCGACATTCTGTAGGATATATTGTACATAGTAAAACACTCGTGTATCCTTCCTCCTCCCCTTGAAAAGTCATTAGTTTTTTTAAAAGTTCCTTTTCTAGTTCCTTTGCTTAGGAAGATTTTGACAATTCTTATTTATCACAAGTAAAGTAAAGTGCTTGGCAATGAAATGAAATACTGGCAATTAAACTTAAGGGAGAAAAACTCATTCGTCACGGATCATTGTAGTTTCAGTGAAACCACAATTGATTTATTCAGTTAGTTAACAAAGCATTCGTAACCGGAGCTGAGTACCATCGAACTATTGAATGAAAGTATTGACGAATTGAACCAGTTCAATAAACTCCAATTCAAGTAGAACGTTTCCTAATCTACTACATAGTGCATACGTAACTAAAATTTTAACATTTGTTTTTAGAATTGTTGTGGGTAGTATTAGTAACAAGGTTTTTAGTATCAATTTATTGAAAATTTGCTCTAAATTGACGTTGTTAATAATTACCAGCTCTAAAATAAGTAATCAAAAAGAACTCTGAAGCTTAGATATACTTCAATTCATTTCACGTACTAATTCATTTAAAACTAGTTCCACGACCACGATATTTATCTTATAAATAGTAAAATAGCTGTATCATGATTACTTTAATCAAATCCCTCAATTATTTTCCACACATGAGATCATTTCCCAAACTAAAGACTTTCAATTAGATTAATAGATCAAAGAGAGGATATGGAGTTACAACAACTAATCCACTTCTGTTGCAATTTCACATCAGCTGTTATATACGTCTAGCTCTAGGAGAGCTTTTTATTTGATGAGGTGAAATTTTATAATTATCTTAGTTACCTCTTGCTCTAAGTTGAAACTTCCAACGATTTGAGACACCATGTTTACAGGCAATAATTTAAATTTTCAAAATCGCCATTATAATCGTGCAAATTCAACAGTTGACAACTTGCATTTAAGCTACTTACAACTTCCAAGCACTAAAACTGAACAACTTGATAAATTGACGTGACGTCAGCAAGTAGTCAAGCTTTAGCTTTTACTCACACTCTGTGAGCTCTAATCTAAACACCACGATAAGCTGTCCACTACGGGGTAAATGCTAGAGCAGGTTGTTAAGGTATTGGCATAAATAGATCTTTATTAGATATGTCGCATTTTTACGTTATAAGGTGGTATATTTTGTGGTATATTTTGCTGGTGCTTACTATTACGAGACGGTAAGAAACCTTCTTGCGATAAAACTATCAACGTTTAATTATTAAGTATTGATATCCGAGTGCACAGATAAATTAACTGATGCCTAATGCGGCTAATTATTTGGTGTTAGCAGTGACTGACACAGAATTTAGCTATGCGAACTCAAGACTATTAAACTTGTACGAATATTTAATGAATTACAAATCATAGATCAATGCAGGGCTTTAATATTATATACTAATATGGATTTGCTTAAGCATGATCGATCAGTTACATTAAATTCTGTATTTCCTTTTCTTGCAGAGCTTAATTTGTTTGTTCGACATAATGGACTGCGTTTGCGCAATTTTTGTAATCCCTACAGAAACTCAAATAAAAATCATCTTTGTTCACAATGCTCATAGATTACCAATAATTAAACTTTAAAGGGTTTCTGCTATTTTATTTCAATTATTAAATCCTTAGTCCTTGGTTCTTTTTTGTTATTGAACATTTTTGTTGACCATATTTTGAAGATCTACAGATATATAATATACAGATTTGAGCCATACTGATGAGTCCTAATAGGACGAAACAGTGTGTCTATGGATATATATACAGTTAGTTAAGTGTCATCAAACAAATGATACGACGTATTCCAGGGTGATCTGCTGAAGACTCAACTAGTTTCGGCCTTTGAGGGCCATCCACAGGAGTGTCACCTAGCAGAAGTCAATAATTTAATAAACTGATATCAGAAGAATATGTCATATTAGTAAACATACGGTTAATTAATCTGAAAATCCATTGTAAAGTTACAAACTCATGGGGCAGAAAAAGAAACAAAGAGTAAACTCGGTGTACAAAAGTGAGAGCTAGGAAGCGGAAAATATAGCCGTACACCCAGTGATAGAACGTGAGGTGTGACCTGAACCAAAGATAACATTAATTGCCACTGACCTTGCTCCTATTTAAACCAATTATCCTGGCTTTAAATCTCTCGATAAACATATCCTCAAACATGTTCAGGTCATCTCTATTGCATTTACGGATAATCCCAAAGTTAAAACTAGAAAGTTTATCATCTAACATTTCATAATGCACATCGTGAATGTGCAGAGCTAATGATGACTTATTATAATGTTCTGGTTTGAAAGCTGCTCTGTGGTTATTCATGCGTATATTGAGGGGTAGCCATGTCTGGCCAAAATAGAAGCCGCTTGAACATAACTTACATTGAGCTACGTATATAACATTCCCATCACTACAATTTAAACTCATATCTAGTTCACATATCTGATTGTTAACAATAAATTTCCCATCAGCGTTGTTTTCCGTGAGTTTGCAAGTCAGGCATCTTGGTCTTTTACATGCTTGTGATGAGGTGTTGTTGTCTCTTCTAGACTGTTCCACGTATTCTGCTGGTGTAGTGGCGAATTTTCTTCGTTTGAAGAGTTGGTCACTTATGTTACTGCCTCTTCTATTTGCGATAGTGATGGATACGTTCTCACCAATTATGTGTTCGATAGTCTGTTTCTTAGATTCTAGGAACATTCTGAGGTCTTTTAGTTCTTTGCAGTATTGGGCAGATAGTATCAAATTAGTAGAGGTTTCCTCCTTTTTCTCTACATCCGTTTTCTTAGGTTTCAGACGTTCATTCCTATCTACCAAATTCACCTTTTCTAAGACAATCTTAAGTTCCTGCTCATCATAGCCACTTTTCTTCAGGTCCGAAATTATGTCTTTAGTTGCTTTATCAAATGCTTTCTCGTCTGAGCATATGGTTCTTGCTCGTAGTAGTTGTGAATACGGGACGCTTTTGAATACATGAGGAGGGTGGTAGCTATTCCTTTGTAAAAATGATCTGTTATCTGTTGGTTTCTGGTATAATGATGTCGCTATACCGAAAGTCCCATTCTCTGACTGCCTTATTTTAACTAAAACATCCAGGAAGCTAAGTTCCCTGCCTATTTCCTCAGTGAATTCTATCCCGTATGCTGCAGCTTTACTATTGAGTAGTTTGACAAAATCGTAGAACTCTTCTTCTGTCCCTGACCATATACCAAAAATATCGTCGATGTAACGTTTCCAGAGTTTAACAAATAAGTCCCAGTTGTCGATGTTCTCTTTTAGGAAAATCTTCAAAAATTTCAGAAATGTATCTGCTAAAGGTCCTGAGATCGAACCGCCTGTTGGAACACCTTTGATGGCTCTGAAAAACTCTCATCTGTATTCTAGTGTCGAGTTCTGTAGACAAAAGTTGATACTTGTCATCATGCCTGATTTGATGTTTGGGGCGAGCGTTGTATCTTCTTCTAGTGCTGCATTAACCGACTGTCGGACGATATCCTGCCTCATACTAGGATATAGAGCTTTCACGTCCATCGTGAATAAAAGGTCCCTTTCATCTAAAACAAGGTCTTTGATTTGACGTAGAAAATCACTGGTGTCTTTTATATATTCATCGTTTGAGTAGTTCCGTGAAACCTGTCCGAAGTGATGGGCTATGTATTTCTCCAGCCTCATTGTGGGGGACTGTGTTAGAGCGTGTACCAATCTTGAGGGAGGGATATTTTTGTCTCTGATTTGTTCCGCTTCTAGTTTGTGAATTTTGAATAGAGGGTAAGGAATACCAGTTGTTGTCTTAAAACATGTTTTCCTAAGTTTTCCACCCCGTTCCGTGTATCCAGTGATGGTTTCTAAAATTTTGCTGTTAAAAGAGCCTCCGCTGATTAATCTCTCAATCATGGACCTCTGCTGTTGAAGTATTTGGTCGTTAGGGTCTGTAACTAGTTTGTTGTAACTATCTGATTTACTGAGTTCTGAACTGATAGCCGTGTCCACATCTCTAGGATTCATAACTAACACACTACCCCCTTTATCTGCTTTCGTGAAAATAAGTTTCCCCAGTCTAACCATACTCTTGCACCAATTCTGTCCTCTGATTTCAACTGTAGTGAGATTGGATGGTGGTGTACTGAGTTCGAGTTGGTCCACAAATTGTTTCAGCTCAGTTTTCAACTCTTCAATCCCTGGTTCTAAATTCTGGGACCATCCTGTTCGTTTGATGTAAAGTGATCTAGGGAAGTCTTCTTGCTGATTGGTATGGTAATCGTCACATTCCTCCCTGTTTTTGTTGTGATGGGCCCTCCATGCTATGTTTCTAACAAATTCCCTGACATCATAATTAAGTCTGTCTCTGTCTGGTTTTCTTGGTGTGACGAACCCCGTACCCTTGGCAAGGTAGAGTTTTGCCTCTGTTGGTAGAGGTATATCCGAGAAATTAAGTACCATATTTGACTCGTCAATTGTCCTGAGTCTTTCTGAAAGCCGTTCCTTCTTAGCTGACTGCCTTCGTTGTTTATAAGCTTTCCTGGATCTCTGTTTATAGGCTTGCTGTCCCTTGGAACGTTCTGCTCTCTTGATTATGGTAGGATGTTGTGGAGAGGACGGTACTTTGCCATGATGAGTTAATTTGTTTGAGTGTTTATATGACAGTTTTGATCTGATATGTGATTGTGTTCTGTCCATACTTCGTCTTAGTTGTAGCATCTGTTGATCTGATAAGGTATCTGCAGCTTGTGTAAGCATCTGGTTTTCAATGCCACGTAACTTTGAGATGTCCCTTGATGCCTCCATTATACCAAGATCAATAGCAC